AACGCGCCGCTCCTCACTCCTCCGAGTTTCCTCCGATAGAGGCTCCACTGCAGACGCTTCACCTGGACGTGTGGGGCCCCGCCCGCGTCCGTGGACAGGGTCACGAGCGTTACTTCCTGCTGGTAGTTGACGACTACTCGCGTTACACCACAGTCTTCCCCTTGCGCAGCAAGGGTGAGGTCACTGAGGTGTTGATCGACTGGATCCGGGCAGCTCGTCTCCAGCTCAGAGAGAGTTTCGGCTCGGACTTTCCTGTTCTGCGTCTGCACTCCGACAGAGGCGGAGAGTTCTCCTCTGACCTTCTGCGAGCCTTCTGTCGTGCACGGGGCATCCGCCAGATGTTCACACTTCCGGCCTCTCCACAGCAAAATGGGATTGCTGAGCGCCGCATTGGCATGGTCATGGACGTCGCTCGTACATCCATGATCCATGCGGCTGCTCCCCATTTTCTGTGGCCGTTCGCGGTTCAGTACGCGGCGCATCAGATCAACCTTCAGCCCCGGGTCTCCTTGCCGGAGACCTCCCCTACTCTGCGGTGGAGGGGGAAGGTTGACGATGCGTCTGCGTTCCGTGTCTGGGGATCTCGGGCTTTTGTCCGCGACTTGTCTGCGGACAAGCTATCCCCCCGTGCTGTTCCCTACGTTTTCCTTGGCTTCCCCCCTGACGCGCCTGGTTGGGAGTTTTACCACCCCACCTCGCGCCGTGTTCTGTCCTCCCAGGACGTCACGTTTGACGAGTCGGTTCCTTACTACCGTCTCTTCCCCTACCGCACTGCACCCCTTCCCCCGCCACCGCTCTTCCTCGCGCCAGGTCCCCCCCCGGTAGACCCCCTTCCCCCTCGGGGTCCTGCCCCCTCAGGTGTGTCTCAGGTAGACGCAGTCGAGCCTGTCGAGGTAGCTGTTGACTCTGGTGCTGCTAGGAGTGCTGAGCCTGCGGGTGCTGAGCCTGGGGGTGCTGATCCTGAGCGTGCGGAGCCTGGGGGTGCTGAGCCTGGGGGTGCTGCGTCTGGGGGTGCTGAGCCTGGGGGTGCTGCGACTGGGGGTGTGGAGCCTGAGGGTGCTGGGCCTGCTCGTGTGGAGTCTGGCGGTACTGGGTCTGGAGGTCCTTCGGGTGCTTCGTCCCGGCGGGAGCTACCCTCTCCACAGGAGCTGCGCAAGTGGTTTGCCCGGCGCTGGAGCCGTGCTGCTGGAGCTGGAGGTTCTACTCCTGCTGAGGGTGCTGGTGCCACGGGTCCCGGAGGTGCTCGTACTGGAGGTACTGGAGCTGCTGGGCCTGGGGGTGCTCCTTGTGCTGGAGCTGCTGACGGTGCTGGAGCTGGCGTTGCTGCTGGAGTAGGTGCTGCTGGAGCTGCTGTAGCTGTTGAGTCTTCCGGTGGTCCAGCTGGAGCTGGAGCTGCTGGGGGTGTTGGCGCTGGAGGTGGTGCTGGCGCTGGTGCTTCTGAGGGTGCTGGAGTTGGCGCTGCTGGAGATGGGGGTGCTACTGCCGCTGGTGCTGCCGCTGGGGGTGCTTGTGCTGTACCTGCTGGTTCTGGAGATGCTGCGCGACCGCGGCCGTACTTCGTTCCGCTCCTTGAGCAGGTTCTTGGTCTCCCACCTTCTGCTGGTCCTGCTCCTTCCTTAGAGTGTCCACCGCCTGTCCAGTCCGAGTTACAGTTACAGCCCGCCTCCCCACTGCCTGCTTCTTCTCCCTACACTGGTCCTACTGGAGGTCTTGCTGAGCGTCGTGCGCCTGCGTCTTGTCCTGCGTCGCCTGCTCATGCTGCTCGCACTAGTCGTCGTGTTCCGCGTCAGCGTCCTCCTGCGGTCCCGAGCACGCATCAAATGGCACTGCGTCCTTCCACTGCTCCACTGCGTGTCCCTTTGCCGTCTCCTCCAGAGTCCTCTCTTCCTGCTCTTGCTGACCCGGAGTCTGACTCTCTTCGTGCTGCCAGTCCTACTGTCACGCGTCTCCTGGCTACTGTTGTCACTGACCCTTCGTTTGAGTCCACTGCTGCGTCTGCCTTAGTTGCTGAGCTTGTCGACTTCGCTGCTCGCTGTCGTCTAGACTACGCCGCTAGTCTTGTTGCTGAGTCTGAGTCTGTCTGTCCTCCGTCCGTCGAGGGTGAGTGTGCTCTTGGCACGGACGTCCTTGAGGACAGGCAGGAGGAGTTTCAGTGCTTTGCTGCTGCTTTGCCTCATCTCGTGTCCATGCTGATTGCCCCTGAGGGAGACCCGGATGCACCAGACATCCCGACTCCGCGCTCTTACGCAGAGGCGATGGAGGGTCCCTACTCCTCTCAGTGGTAGTCAGCCATGGACGTAGAGATGGCTTCCTGGAAGTCCACAGGCACCTAAGTCGACGAGGTTCCCCCACCTGGGGCGAACATCGTTAGTGGCATGTGGATTTTCAGGGTGAAGCGGCCGCCGGGTTCTCCGCCTGTCTTCAAGGCACGTTACGCGGCTCGAGGCTTCAGTCAGCGGAAGGGAGTTGACTACTTTCAGACCTTCTCTCCCACCCCAAAGATGACCACTCTTCGGGTGCTGCTGCACATAGCCGCTCAGCGCGACTACGAGCTTCACTCTCTTGACTTCAGCACTGCTTTCCTACAGGGCAGCCTGCACGAGGAGATCTGGCTGCGCCGCCCTCCTGGCTTCACTGGGTCGTTTCCTCCTGGTACCCAGTGGAGCCTCCGGCGGCCAGTCTACGGTCTCCGCCAGGCGCCCCGTGAGTGGCACGACACACTGAGGACTACACTTGCGGCTCTTGGGTTTGCTCCTTCTACTGCCGACCCGTCGCTGTTTCTACGCACCGACACATCTTTGCCGCCGTTCTACATCCTCGTGTACGTCGACGACTTGGTCTTTGCCACTGCTGACACTGCTGGACTCGCCCACGTGAAGTCCGAGCTGTAGAAGAGACACACGTGCACAGACCTGGGTGAACTGCGCAGCTACCTTGGCTTGCAGATCACCCGGGACAGAGCACAGCGCACCATTACCCTGATTCAGTCACACATGGTGCAGCAGGTCCTTCAGCGCTTCGACTTCACGTACTCCTCGCCTCAGGCCACTCCTCTGTCTACTCGCCACTCGCTCTCAGCTCTGCCTTCGGATGAGTCCGTAGAGCCGAGTGGCCCGTACCCAGAGCTTGTTGGCTGCCTCATGTACCTGATGACCTGCACTCGACCCGACCTTGCATACCCTCTTAGCATCTTGGCACGCTATGATGCTTCTGGGAGACACAGACCAGAGCACATGGCTGCAGCGAAGAGGGTGTTGCGCTACTTGTGTAGTACGTCGGGCATGGGGCTCGTGCTTGGAGGGCGGAGTCCAGTGGTCCTCACTGGTCACGCAGACGCTTCTTGGGCGGACGACCAGGCTACGCAGCGGTCGTCACAGGGTTACACCTTCAGCCTTGGTTCCGGCTCTGTTTCGTGGCGGTCTACCCGCTCGTCTTCTGTTCTCGGCTCCAGCTGTGAGGCTGAGATCTACGCAGGGGCCATGGCTGCACAGGAGTTACGCTGGCTCACCTACCTGCTGACCGACCTAGGAGAGCCGCCTCGTTCTCCTCCAGTTCTGTACGTAGACAACAAGGCTATGCTGGCCTTGTGTCTGGAGCACAGACTGGAACACAGAACGAAGCACATTGCTCTTCGCTACTTCCTTGCTCGTGAGCTGCAGCAGCGTGGTCAGCTGCGCCTTGCTTACGTGGCCTCTCGGGCCAACACTGCTGGTATCTTTACCAAGGCACTTCAGCCTTGTGATCATCAGCGCTTGTGTACTTTGCTAGGTCTTGTGCCTACTTGGCCTCACTTGCTCACTTCTTGACCTTGCTTGTACTGTGATCTATCTATACCTGCACTTGCTTGTTTACCTTTATATATAATTCTGCATGTGAACTGGCCTTGTGGCCTTGAACTTGTGCTCGGAATGTGTGGTGACGTTGTGATCCACCCTGAGCTTGCTTTGCTTGACTGGTCTTGTGACCCCTAGTTCTCCCCCACTTTGCCTATGGGGGTGTGTCTGATATATATAACATAGTGTTTGTAGGCTCTAGTGGGGTAGACACTGAGGGGTACAGGTTTCTAGGGTTTCATATTTGTATCACACACTTTCCTAGTTCATTCATTCCTCATTATTTCACAATGCCTTCGCTCATTGTACTCTTGCTTCGACAGTGCAATTCTCGCCCGCTCACTCAATTGCACTCGTAATAGCAGGCGAGATTGGCTATTCGGATCGGAACTCGTCGTGCCAACCTTGAATTCAAAATTCCTGCATATGATATCCCATTGCATGTGTAGTTCTCTTAGTAGATAAACTTCTTTTGCTGTTCCAATAATGTATTATGTTGACATATCTAATTACTGGATAAAGACAGATCAATTTGATTACGGTATTCGTATCCAAGTACCGTATGGCCCCGGATATAAGCGCAGGCCTATTATAAGCGCATGCGCTTGTATCTGGAGCAATGCGCTTATGGCCGATCCTCATTTATAAGCGCACCCCTTGTAAAACCTTGATTTATTATAAGCGCACGTATAATTCTAAAATTCAAACCAGATTAAAACGGTAGCGATTTCAAATTTTGCAGTGAGGATACAACTATTTTCGCTTCGATTGACTTTCGAGGACCTCACATACTGCGCGTCCAGTCAGTATGAGCTGGCATTTCTGATAGTGACGTGTAAATTTTCCCCTGTGCGCCGGCAGAAAATCGCTCACGCGCGAATCTGAATTGCGACTCGCTACCACTTCGATTCGATTGAAATCACAAGAAGGAGATGTACAGTTTGGTGCCAATGAGTTATAAATTTGCATTTGTTATTATATAAGCGCATGCGCTTATATATCTGAGTCAATTATAAGCGCACCCCCCCAAAAAACACTGTTTTATTATAAGCGCAGGTGCGCTTATATCCGGGGTATTACGGTACTATGTCGTAGAACATCTATATGTACCGCAATGCAGCTTGCTGCATCTCACTGTAACACAGGTCAGCATGTTATCTTCGACGACTATTGACCTCACGTTTCGAGAAAACATTACGACGTTAGTGAAGCAATACAAGTGTTCTCGTTTGTGTCCTGGCTTGACTTTTGAGGCCCCTCAAAAGTTCCTTGGTGTGTCCTGTGTCCTGGCTTGATTGAATCAATTTCTTGTGCACTGCGTTGAACCAGCAGCATGGTCTGTCTGTCAAGGAACAAAAACGGTAGACTTGCCGAAGCAATAATAACAGTGCCTGTGAAAAGACTATGACTACCGTATCAGTCAACCATAACAAGGACACAGTTACACACACTACCTCCTCCCTCTCGACCTCTTCCCCTTCCCTCTCCCTTTCCCTCCCGAACCCCTCTTCTTCCCCTTCCCCCCTCCACCACCCCCTCTCCTCCTCCCCCCTCCGCCAAACCCTCCCAAATCCTTATCCCCAATCACCCCTCCCTTCCTTCCTCCCCCATCCCCTCCAATCTTCCACTTCCTCGGATCCACATGCAACACCCCACCTTGGTAATCCCCATCCGAGGCTTTAAGCCCTCTCTCCTCCGCCCGCCAATCAACACGCGCCTTTCTCGGGCGGCCTTCTTTGGCCTCTTCCTCTTCGGCTAGGAGCCTGGCTAGAGTGCCCTGCCCCAGCCTCCTGTGCTTGCTCTTCTTGTCGCGCGGGTTTCCTCCCTTCACTTGGATCATACCAGAGGCAACTTCCTGGAAGGGTCAGGACAGGAAATGCAAGGGAGAGTAGCAAGGGAAGCAAGGGATGAAGGAGGGTTAGGGAGAGGAGGGTGGTGCTACAAGGTGGTTCGTTCGTGGGCGGCCTTCTTTGGCCTCTTCCTCCTCTGCCAGCAACCAGGAAAGAGTGCCTTGGCCCAGCCGCCTGTGCTTGCTCTTCTTGTCGCGCGGGTTCCCTCCCTTCAGCTGGCGCCACAACTGCAGTTGGGAGACAGTGCGGTTGGGTGTGTCATGTCAAGAGGCCACTTCCTGGAAGGTCGTGAAGGGTGCAGCCTTACTTGAACATCACAGCAAAATGTCTACCCTTTCGCACCTTTTCCCTCCACTCATTCTTCCCCATCAACCCACCTCTTCCCACCCTCCTCCCACCACCTCACCCACCTCTTCCAGTTCCCTCAGTCGCTTCTTCCGTTGCACCGATCGATACCCCTCCGTAGCAGCTATGTTCATGCTCATGCGCTTGGGCGGCTTGGGGGGGGGGGGAGAAGGGGGGAGGGCGCCAGGCGGATGGGTTGAAGAATGAGAAGCATGGGGAGGACTAATTCCCCCTGCAGGTGACTTCATGCTCATGCGTTTGGGGGCTGCGAGTGAGCGGGAGTGCGGCAGGGTGAGAGGGTAGAATGAGAAGCATGGAACGAAAGTGTTAGTTTTGAGAACTCTCAAAAGTGACACCAATGAGAAGCATGGAATGTATGATCCCTCTGTGGCGCCTATGTCCATGCTCATACGCTTGGGCGGCTATGAAGGCGGAGTGGGAGGAAGGGGAGTCAACTTGCAGAGTATTTTTGAGAATTCTCAAAAATACTCGGCTATGAAGGCGGAGTGGGAGGAAGGGGAGTCAACTTGACTCCCAGATGCTAACATGGTTAGCCTCTCACTGCTTGCGCTGGTGCCACTCCATCGTTGACATGACACACCCAACCGCACTGTCTCCCAACTGCAGTTGTGGCGCCAGCTGCTTGCTGCGGTGCCCCTGACTCTTGAGGCGCCATGCACATGAAAGCACACACACACACATGAACCTCACCTTCACACCCAGGTGCCGCACGATGTGGTTCGTCTCCCACTGCTTGCGCTGGTTCCACTCCATCGTTGACACTCCCAACCGCTCTGTCTCCCACCTGCTTGCTGCTGTGCCCCTGCTGTCAGGAAAGCCATTCGAGCCGACTCACTCAAACCCCCACCCCTCCAGCGAACGCAGAACACGCACACACACAGCACACTCACACACCCACACACACGCAGCGCAAATCCCCCCACACACACTCACCTTGACGCCCAGGTGGCGCACGATGTGGTTCGTCTCCCACTGCTTGCGCTGGTTCCACTCCATCGTTGACACTCCCAACCGCTCTGTCTCCCTCGCAATCGCAATGTACTCCTCCATGTGCAGCCGAGTCTCCTTCTCCTCCTCGTCCTCCTCCTCTTTCTTCCCCGCCCGCCCCCTCCCTCTCCTCCGCCTCCCCTCTGGTTCTTCCACCGGCGCGTTGGGATCCCTGAAGATATTGGCCACCTTGGACGACTGGGGGGAGGGTAAAGAGAAGGGCTTTTTTACATCTCCGTCTCCCCTCCGGCAGAAATTTTGCGCCGCTGCCTACACTCCGCTCCGACCTCTTGCAGTGAGTTCGGATTTTTTACTGTACTTCCTATATTCAACGAAAACACACCACACCGCACCGCACCACACTGCATTGCGCCGCACAACACCTCACTCCACCCCAGCACACCAGCCCCACCCTCAGCTCACCATAAAGAGCTTCCTCTCCTTCCTGCTGCTGATCTGGCCGCCCAATAGGAGCTTGACACGTGTTGCTTGCTTCTTGAGGTTACTCCCTTCCTGAAACACTACAACTTCCGGACCACTCACACGCCCACCCTCCTCCTCCTCATCCTCTTCTTCTTCCTCCTCTTCCTCCTCCTCTTCCTCCTCTTCTTCCTCTTCCTCCACTTCCTCCTCTCCCTCCTCTTCCTCATCTTCCACCTCTTCATCCTCCTCCCCCTCCTCCCCCTCCTCCTCCTCTTCCCCCTCTTCCTCTCCCTCCTCTAGTTTCTCCTCCTTTCCTTCTCTACTCCCACTCCGCCCCACAATCACACTCTGCACCACACTCCCATTCCCATTCCCAACCAAGGGCCGTCTCTCCCTCTGCCCCACCTTCACATCATCAGCTACCCGCCTGCCCTTGCCGCCTGATATGGGTTGCAGGAGGGGCAGGAAGGCGAAGACACACGGGCAGATAGCAAAAAATACATGTTTTTTAGTTGACAAGGGCAGCATGCTGCCCGTGCCGCCTAAAAAATTGTGCAGAAGAGGCATGAAAGGCGCAAGACAGATGGGTGGGCAAAAGGAAGGCAGGCTAAGGGCCTTACAGCGTATGTTTTTTGAGAATTCTCAAAAAAGGAAGGCAGGCTAAGGGCCTTACACACAACCAAGAAATTTCTTGATTTGTCTTCTAAGGAAGGCAAAGACAGGCTCAGCAGCAGCCTAAACCCGCGTGCGTTGAGGTGTATTTTCAATGAGGCAAGTTTAAAGAAGGTGCGAGTGATTTCTTGATATGTCTTCTAGAGAAGGCAAAGCCAGGCTCAGCAGCAGCCAAAATCCGACACAGCCCACCCACGCATGTGCCCATCTTTCACTCCTTGGTCAAAGCCCAAAATTCAGATGTCAACACAGAACCAGGGCTTTGAAAGTTTCAAGTCTAGGACAGGGTACAGAGTGTATATTTGTACTACACCCTTGGGAGCTGTTCGGGTGAAAACTGGGGTGGGGTGTTCGACAAAAACCCCCACAAATCGAAAGCATGGGGTGTTCGACAGCGTGAAAGGTGGTGAGGAGACCAATAAACCCAGAGATTTTGAAACTAGGAACCGCGAAAACCCGAATCTGTACCAATCCCAAAACCCCAGAACCCAGAGTCCTGGAAATGGGAGAGCGTTGGAAATGCAGCAGAGCCATTGTGCGCACCTGTGGCGGTGCTTGGTCGTGCTTCTGCTGCTGCTGCGGAGCCGTTGGATCGAGTCCGATCAACGGCCCGTGCTGCTGCTGATTGTGGTGCTGCCCGGCTGGTCTGTTGCAGAGCGTGTGAAAAGTGTTGGGGAGGGGAGAATGGGGGGAGGATGACGGGGAGGTGTCAAACATTATATGTTCATATTGTGTAGGCTATAGTGGGTTTAGCCTTAGGGGGTACAGCTTTGTTAGGGTTTCCTACTTGTATCCCCCTCCTACCTAGTTTCATTCATTCTCGTTCTATTCTGGATTCTAACATGGTATCACGAGCCTAGGTTGCTACCTAGGACCGCTTTCTACTATGGGCCCACTATTCCGCTAGAAGCGCCCTCGTGCGCCCTACCTTACGTGCGCCCTCGTGCGCCTTTCTCTGCTAGTGCGCCTTCGTGCGCCCTCGTGCGCCCTCGTGCGCCCTCGTGCGCCTTTCTCTGCTAGTGCGCCTTCGTGCGCCTTCGTGCGCCCTCGTGCGCCCTCGTGCGCCTTCGTGCGCCCTCGTGCGCCCTCGTGCGCCCTCGTGCGCCCTCGTGCGCCCTCGTGCGCCCTCGTGCGCCCTCGTGCGCCCTCGAGCGCCCTCGTGCGCCCTCGAGCCGCCCCTGCAGGTCCGTCAGGCCCCCGAGCCGCCTCTGCAGACCCGTCAGGCCCCCCCCGAGCCGCCTCTGCAGGCCCGTCAGGCCCGAGAGCCGCCCCTGCAGACTCGTCAGGCCCGCGCGCAGCCTCTGCCCGACCGCGCGCCGCCCCTGCAGGCTCTCGCCGCCCGCCGCGTCGCCCTGCCCGCGGCGTCGCCGCCTGCCCGCGACGTAGCCCCTGCCCGCGGCGTCGTCGCCTGCCCGCGGCGTCGTCGCCTGCCTGCGGCGTCGTCGCCTGCCCGCGACGTAGCCCCTGCCCGCGACGTCGTCGCCTGCCCGCGGCGTCGTCGCCTGCCCGCGGCGTCGTCGCCTGCCCGCGGCGTCGTCACCTGCTCGCCGCGTCGCCCTGCCCGCGGCGTCGCCACCTGCTCGCGGCGTCGCCCTGCTCGCGGCGTCGTCACCTGCTCGCCGCGTCGCCCTGCTCGCCGCGTCGCCCTGCTCGCGGCGTCGTCACCTGCTCGCCGCGTCGCCCTGCCCGCGGCGTCGTCACCTTCCCGCCACGTCGCCCTGCCCGCGGCGTCGCCACCTGCCCGCCGCGTCGCCCTGCTCGCCGCGTCGCCCTGACCTAATCCGCGCCTGGCCTCTGGAGCAGCCGCCCCTGCAGCAGCCGCCCCTGGCCACTGGAGCAGCCGCCACTGCAGGAGCCGCCCCTCGCCCCTGGAGCAGCCGCCCCTGCAGCAGCCGCCCCTGGCCCCTGGAGCAACCACCGCTGCAGCAGCCGCCCCTGGCCCCTGGAGCAGCCGCCACTGCAGCAGCCGCCCCTGGCACCTGGAGCAGCTGTCGTCGCGGCCCGGCCTCGCCGTGCAGCAGCTGCCGCGGAGCTCCCTGCTGCGGCCCGGCCCCGCCCTGCAGTTGTAGCGGCCCCGCTGTCGCCACCGTCTTGCGCCTGCCGTGCCGACCACTGGTGAGCATTGCCCTGCCAGCACTGCTACCGCTGCTACTGCTGCTACTGCCTTTTCTACTCCCACTGCTACTGCTCCTGCTGTTACTGCTGTTACTCCCGCTACTGCTACTATTGCTGCTTCTGGCGTGGCCAGATGCAGCTCCAGGGCCGTGCGCGTGAGTCCCTCACGCCCCAGCAGCTTCGTGAGTGGTACGCTAGTTGGGGCTGTCGGGGTGGCCGTAGTGGTAGTCGCTCTGGAGTGGGTCGGTCGGGAGCTTCTGGTAGTGGACAGGTGCAGCTGCCGTGTCCTCTTTCGCCCCAGCAGCTTCGTGCGTGGTTCGCTAGTTGGGGCTGTCGAGGTGGCCGTAGTGGTAGTCGCTCTGGAGTGGGTCGGTCGGGAGCTTCTGGTAGTGGACAGGTGCAGCTGCCGTGTCCTCTTTCGCCCCAGCAGCTTCGTGAGTGGTACGCCAGTTGGGGCTGTCGGGGTGGCCGTAGTGGTAGTCGCTCTGGAGTGCGTCGTTCGGGAGCTTCTGGTAGTGGACAGGTGCAGCTGCCGTGTCCTGTGAGTGAGGCTGCCGCTCTAGGTGCTAGTGCGTCTGTTGCCCTAGGTGCTGGTGAGGCTACCACTCCCGGTACTCGCGTGTCTGCTACCCCAGGTGCTGGTGAGGCTGCTGCTCTAGGTGCTAGTGAGTCTGCGCCCCCTGGTACTGAGTCGACTGAGGCACTGCACACCTTCACTCTGGACTCAGGTGCTTCTCGCTGTTTCTTTCGTGACCGCACTGCCCTTGAGCCGCTTGCTCGGCCAGTTGCTGTCTCCCTCGCTGACCCCTCTGGGGGTCCGGTCATTGCGACCTCCTCCACTGTCCTTCCTTGTCCTGCGGTCCCGTCAGGCACACTGTCAGGTCTCCACCTCCCCTCGTTCTCTACGAACTTGGTGGCGGGTTGTGCGCTCCAAGACGGGGGTGTTCACCACTTCACCCCTGCCTACGAGCGCGTGACACACTGCACGTGTGCTCGGACGGGCCGTCACCTGGCTACCTTCACTCGGCAGCCGGGGTCCGACCTGTACACACTGACCACTGAGTCCCCTCAGGTAGCTGCGTCTGCGTCTGCGTCAGGTCAGCTGTCGGCCCCCTGCTCGTGTCGCTCTCTGGCGCACGAGACCGTCCTCTGGCACCACCGACTTGGTCACCCGTCCGTGCAGCGCCTTCGTGCCATGCACAAACGGTACCTTGTCTCTGGTCTTCCCAGGGTTCTCCCTCCCCTCCCACCCTCGCCTGCTCCTCCCTGTCTTCCCTGTGTCGAGGGGCGGCAGCGCGCCGCTCCTCACTCCTCCTCGTTTCCCCCGACGACTGCTCCCTTGCAGACGCTCCACATGGACGTGTGGGGCCCAGCCCGCGTCCGTGGTCAGGGTCAGGAAAGGTACTTCCTGATAGTTGTTGACGACTACTCGCGCTACACCACGGTCTTCCCCTTGCGCACCAAGGGTGAGGTCCCTGATGTTTTGATCCCTTGGATCAGCGCTTCTCGTCTCCAGCTCAGCGAGCGTTTCCACACGGACTTTCCTGTCCTGCGCTTGCACTCTGACAGAGGTGGTGAGTTCTCCTCCGACCTCTTGGCAGCCTACTGTGCGGAGCACGGCATCCGCCAGTCGTTCACGCTTCCAGCCTCTCCACATCAGAATGGGGTTGCTGAGCGCCGCATTGGCTTGGTCCTGGAGGTCGCTCGTACCTCCTTGATCCATGCGGCTGCCCCCCACTTTCTGTGGCCGTTTGCAGTCCGATACGCTGCGCATCAGCTCAACCTCTGGCCCCGTGTCTCCGTTCCAGAGACTTCGCCGACACTGCGTTGGACAGGAGAGGTTGGCGATGCGTCACGTTTTCGGGTCTGGGGATCTCGAGCCTTTGTTCGCGATACGTCCGCGGACAAGCTCTCCTCCCGCGCTGTTCCTTGTGTCTTCCTTGGCTTTGTCCCGGACGCGTCTGCTGCTGGAGGTGCTGCTGCTGGCGGTGCTTCTGGCGCTGCTGGAGGTGCTGCTGGTGCTGGAGCTGCTGGTGGTGCTGACGCTGCTGGAGGTGCTGCTGGTGCTGGTGGTACTGCTGGTGCTGCTGGAGCTGCTGGAGGTGCTGCTGGTGCTGGGGCTGCTGGAGCTGCTGGAGGTGCTGCTTCTTCTGGAGGTGCTGTTGGTGCTGCGGACTCTGGAGTTGGAGCTGCTGGTGCTGAGGACCCGGGCGTTGGAGCTGCTGCTGGTGCTGCGGACCCGGGCGTTGGAGTTGCTGCTGGTGCTGCGGACCCTGGAGTCGGAGCTGCTGCTGGTGCTGAGGACCCTGGAGGTGGAGCTGCTGCTGGTGCTGAGGACCCTGGCGCTGGTGTCTCTGCTGGTTCTGGAGACGCTGCGCGGCCGCGGCCGTACTTCGTTCCGCTCCTTCAGCAGGTTCTTGGTCAGCCTCCTCCTCCTTGTCCTCCTCCCTCCTTAGAGTGTCCTCCGTCTGTCCAGTCGCAGTCACAGTTACCGTCTGCCTCCCCTCTCCCTGGTCCTTCTCCTTACACTGGTCCGACTGGAGGTCTTACGGAGCGTCGTGAGCCTGAGTCTCGTCCTGCGTCGCCTGAGTCTCGTCGAGCGTCGCCTGTTCGTGCTGCTCGCACTGGTCGTCGCGTCCCGCGTCAGCGTCCTCCTGCTGTCCCAGGCACTCACCAGATGGCGCTTCGTCCTTCCACTGCTCCCCAGCGTGTCCCTCTCCCGGCTCCTCCTGCGTCCTCTCTTCCTGCTCTTGCTGACCCTGAGTCTGACTCTCTTCGTGCTGCCAGTCCTACTGTCACGCGTCTCCTGGCTACTGTTGTCACTGACCCTTCCTTTGAGTCCACTGCTGCGTCTGCCTTAGTTGCCGAGCTTGTCGACTTTGCTGCCACTTGTCGTCTAGACTACGCCGCTAGCCTAGTTGCTGAGTCTGAGTCTGTCTGTCCTCCGTCCGTCGGGGGTGAGTGTGCTCTTGGCACGGACGTCCTTGAGGACAGGCAGGAGGAGTTTGAGTGCTTTGCCGCTGCTTTACCTCATCTCGTGTCCATGCTAGTTGCCCCTGAGGGAGACCCGGATGCACCAGACATCCCGACTCCGCGCTCTTACGCAGAGGCGATAGAGGGTCCCTACTCCTCTCAGTGGCAGACAGCCATGGACGCAGAGATGGCTTCCTGGAAGTCCACAGGCACCTACGTCGACGAGGTTCCCCCACCTGGGGCGAACATCGTCAGTGGCATGTGGATTTTCAGGGTGAAGCGGCCGCCGGGTTCTCCGCCTGTCTTCAAGGCGCGTTACGTTGCACGAGGCTTCAGTCAGCGAGAGGGAGTTGACTTCTTCCAGACCTTCTCCCCGACCCCGAAGATGACCACTCTTCGGGTTCTGCTGCACGTCGCCGCTCAGCGTGACTACGAGCTCCACTCTCTTGACTTCAGCACTGCTTTCCTACAGGGCAGCCTGCACGAGGAGATCTGGCTGCGCCGCCCACCTGGCTTCACTGGGTCGTTTCCTCCTGGTACCCAGTGGAGCCTCCGGCGGCCAGTCTACGGTCTCCGACAGGCGCCACGTGAGTGGCACGACACACTGAGGACTACACTTGCGGCTCTTGGGTTCGCTCCTTCTACTGCTGACCCGTCGCTGTTTCTACGCACCGACACCTCGCTGCCGCCGTTCTACATCCTCGTGTACGTCGACGACTTGGTCTTTGCCACTTCAGACACTGCGGCACTCGCCCACGTGAAGTCGGAGCTGCAGAAGAGACACACGTGCACAGACCTGGGTGAACTGACAAGCTATCTTGGCTTGCGGATCACCCGGGACAGAGCACGGCGCACCATCACCTTGACTCAGTCACACATGGTGCAGCAGGTCCTTCAGCGCTTCCGCTTCACGTACTCCTCGCCTCAGCCCACTCCTCTGCCTACCGGTCACTCGCTCTCAGCTCTGCCTTCGGATGAGTCCGTAGAGCCGAGTGGCCCGTATCCAGAGCTTGTGGGCTGCCTCATGTACCTGATGACCTGCACTCGACCTGACCTTGCATACCCTCTTAGCATCCTTGCACGCTATGTCGCTCCTGGCCGTCACCGGAAGGAGCACATGGATGCCGCTAAGAGGGTGTTGCGCTACTTGTACAGTACGTCGGGCATGGGGCTAGTGCTTGGAGGACGAGACCGAGTTGTACTCACTGGGCACTCAGACGCGTCTTGGGCTGACGACCAGGCTACTCAGCGGTCGTCTCAGGGTTACACCTTCAGCCTTGGCTCTGGTTCAGTTTCTTGGCGTTCTACACGCTCGTCTTCTGTTCTCAGCTCCAGTTGTGAGGCTGAGATCTACGCCACAGCCATGGCTGCACAGGAGTTACGCTGGCTCACCTACCTGCTGACCGACTTGGGAGAGCGGCCTCGTTCTCCTCCAGTGCTGTACGTCGACAACAAGGCTGCCATTGCCTTGTGTGAGGAGCACAGACTGGAGCACAGAACGAAGCATATCGCTCTGCGCTACTTCCTTGCTCGAGAGCTGCAGCAGCGCGGTCAGCTTCGTCTGCGTTACGTGGCCACTCGGGCCAACACTGCTGATGTGTTCACCAAGGCGCTTCAGCCTTGTGACCATCAGCGCTTCTGTACTGTTCTAGGCCTCGTGCCTACTGGGCCTCACTTGCTTACTTCTTGACTCTGATTGTACTGTGATCTCTATATATATACCTGCTTGTTTACTCTTGCTAGGTTGTGATCACTGTATCTCTTGTTATACTATCAACCTGCATGTGAACTGGTCTTGTGACCACTTGCTTGTGCTCAGAATTTGTGTGGTTTCCTTGAGATCCACCCTGAGCTTGCTTTGCTTTGCTTTGACTGGTCTTGTGACCATCTGGTGTCTCCCACTTAGCCTATGGGGGTGTGTCAAACATTATATGTTCATATTGTGTAGGCTATAGTGGGTTTAGCCTTAGGGGGTACAGCTTTGTTAGGGTTTCCTACTTGTATCCCCCTCCTACCTAGTTTCATTCATTCTCGTTCTATTCTGGATTCTAACAGGAGGATGGGGGAAGGATGGGGGGAGGATGGGGGGAGGATGGGGGGAGGATGGGGGGAGGATGGGGGGAGGATGGGGGGAGGATGGGGGGAGGATGGGGGGAGTATGGGGGGAGGATGGGGGGAGGATGGGGGGAGGATGGGGGGAGGATGGGGGGAGGATGGGGGGAGGATGGGGGAAGGATGGGGGGAGGATGGGGGGAGGATGGGGGGAGGATGGGGGGAGGATGGGGGGAGGATGGGGGGAGGATGGGGGGAGGATGGGGGGAGGATGGGGGAAGGATGGGGGAGGATGGGGGGAGGATGGGGGGAGGATGGGGGGAGGATGGGGGGAGGATGGGGGGAGGATGGGGGGAGGATGGGGGGAGGATGGGGGGAGGATGGGGGGAGGATGGGGGAAGGATGGGGGGAGGATGGGGGGAGGATGGGGGGAGGATGGGGGGAGGATGGGGGGAGGATGGGGGGAGGATGGGGGGAGGATGGGGGGAGGATGGGGGGAGGATGGGGGGAGGATGGGGGGAGGATGGGGGGAGGATGGGGGAAGGATGGGGGGAGGATGGGGGGAGGATGGGGGGAGGATTGGGGGAGGATGGGGGGAGGATGGGGGGAGGATGGGGGGAGGATGGGGGGAGTATGGGGGGAGGATGGAGGGAGAATGGGGGAAGGATGGGGGAGGATGGGGGGAGGATGGGGAGAGAATGGGGGAAGGATGGGGGAGGATGGGGGAAGAATGGGGAGAGGATGTGGCGAGGATGGGATGAGCGTGACTTTTGAAATTGATGACTGATTGCCTTTTGAAAATGGACGTACGAGGAGGAAGGAAAGAAGAACGGAAGGAGGAGAGAATTGAAGGAAGAGAAGGGAGAAAAGGGAAAGACATTTTTTCTCCTGACGTACCTGATCTGGTGTATTTGCTGACGTGGCAGCCGGCTGGAGTGACCCATTTGCTGACTCGCCACGCTCATCGTTTTGGAACATGCTCATGAACATCTCTCCTGCGGTACAGTTCCAGTTACAAACACAGTTACACTTTCAGTTACGGTTATTCCCCACCAATAACACAACAGTTACAGCTACAGTTTGGAAGTTGCAAGATTGACACAAGCTTAAGGTTTAATTCTGCGGAGACACCATAAAACAGCAGAAGAACCCCATAGGAGACCTAAACTTCCCAGGGTAAACCCCGAAACCCTGACGCATGGTTCACTGACGCATTCTTGCAGTTGGCGATAGTAGTCGCCTCGCTATTAGCGACATGCCTTCTTTCGAGAGGGAGCTTACAGCTCCTAACCCCATCATATCAGAGCAAAATGCACGATACTCCCCACCGGTGCACCCGCCCCCCCTGATCCAACCACGCTCACGAGATATAATTTCTGTCGGGGCCTCCTGTAACATTGCAACTGGTGCGGCAACGGCTAAAATCATCCCGTTCGAAGGTTATTACTAGTCGCAACTTGCCTCGTTCTTCCAGTCGTTTCTGCAGCAGCGCCTGGATCGACGCGTCTAGCTCTACGTCTTTCTCCTCCTCGTCGTCGCTGTTGCTGGTAACTCGTCTCTTCGTATCGCCGCCCTTCCGAGCTGGAATCTTCTTCGTCACACCCATCTTCTGCCTTCAGCCGTTCGGTTCTCGGTCCCTAGTCTTAACTTATGTTATGACTCTCACGCATTGCAGACAGGCCGTTTTGGTGCTAAATTGTCTGAGATAGAAATACTTCTGGTCAGGGTTTAGGTGGTGGGACAAATTATCAGAGGCCTGGCGAATTTTAGAGAAGGTAACCAAAGTGTTTCGCAGTTGACAAAAAACCTCCAGGTCGGATTGGTGCACGACTTTAGAGAAGGATTGGTGAGGAGAGATGACGAAACTCGCCAGCTATTCAGATTTTGCAATTACCCGCCTTCGCGACATTGTCAACCCGTAAACCTGCAACCAAGCAACCCTTTCGCACACAGAGGCACAGCAAAACCACAGCACATCGCACATCGCAGATATTTTCCCGTCCAGACCAAGTGACCACATTTGCCCCACCAGACGCATCTAATTAGTGGTCGCACATCCATATATTGTCGTTATTAACACCCACCGCCATCCCCGCACCGCGACCTAAGTAACGGGTATAACGGCATTTCTTCCTTTCGTCGGCATCGCGGCTTTGCTCGTTCGCTTGGTCATTTCGCATACTTTTGTTCTTAGCGTCACTTAGTCCTTGCAGGTGGTTTATCCAGCAGTCGTGACTACATTGTCTGCTCTTCTCTCTCCGTCACACCACATTGTTCGCGAGCGGAAGCACTCTGCAATTTTGTTGTTGTTATTATTTGATTTTCCGTTGATTCAAAAGCAGCTCGCTCTAGATTCCACCCTCATGGACAATAACGGGGATAACATGGACGTGGACGGCATTCTCCAGCGGCTAAGGGAGAAATACTCCCCCGGTGCTGCACAGCCTTCGCAATCTCCACCCGAACCTGCACGTTCCGCGGGGGTTGCCGAACCTGACGGTAGGTTCGGCAGTCCAGTTCATTTAACAGAGAAGCCTAAGAGGCAGGTGAAGTGGAAGGATCTGGAAGAAGGCCAATCAGAGGCGTCCACGTGGGATAACTTTGACACCAGCAGCGCACTTTCGGGAAGGAGTACTTTCACGCTTTTAGGGGGTACAGAGGGGTTCGGAGATACAGGAGGAGGCGATGGGAGGAGAGCTAGTTTACCAGGCCGTGTTTCTGGTGCAGCTTCTAAAGCCGCTGCAGCTAATGCTGCTGGAAAACTGGGATCAGGAGCAGGAGCAGAATCCGGAGTAGAGCAACAGCAGCTGATTTCCGCCTTGCTCGATTTACAGTCGCTGCTGCAGGCGTCCCAGGAGGAAGCTTCCACGCTGCGGGAAGAAAACGCCGAGCTACGCCGATCATTGAAGAGTGCGTGGGATGACGTGGCACGGGTGGAAGAGAGCAAGGGTCAGGTTCATATGCAGTTGTCACACGCACAGGAGCAGTTGGAACAGGCGGAGAGACAGCTGAAACAGGTACAGGCACAGGAGCAGGCACAGGCAGAGGCGCAGGCACAGGAACGGCTATCCCAGGCCAACGGGCAGATATTGCAGCTGCAGACGGAGCTTCGGGCAGCTCAGGAAGAAGTTCGGGCTGCCCGGTCTGAGCTGGCGGTGGTTCGGGCTGAGCTGGCAGGTGCACAGGAGGAGGGGAGGGAGTTGGCAGAAGGGTTGAAAGAGGCGAGTGAAGAGGCGAGGGAACTTCGGGCAGATTTGGAAATTTTGAAAGAGAGTTTGATCGATGAGCAGACACGGGTCGGGGAATATATGGAAGAAAATGAGAAGCTTGGGGAGCAGGTTCGGAAGTCCCTGACCGCAGCTGCAAAGGCTCGGGCCGAAGCTGATGAGGTTCGGGAGGAGAATGAAAGGCTGCTGGAGGAGGTCGGGCAGCTGAAAGATGAGAATGAACAGGCGCAACGGGTTTTGGCGGCTGCCCAGGGGGAGCTCGGGCAAGTGCTGGAGGACGGGCAAGGGCAGCGTGAAAGACTGAAGGCACTTTTAGCTGAGAGCGGTCGCTTAAGGGAGGAAAATAGCAAGCTTAGGAAAGAGCTGGATGTGATAAGAAGCAGTGAATCAGACCGTGTGGCAAAGAGTACAGGAAATCAAGACAGGCGTGGGTGGGAGGGAGGAGGAGAACGTGTGTTAGGGGGGAGTGAAGGGGGGTGGAGGGAGAGTGGGGGAGAGGAGGGTGGAGGAGGAGAGGAGGGATGGCAGGGGAGGGGAAACGAGACTGTTTTGTTGAGGCAGCTGGACGGGAGCTTGAATGCTGCCCGGGAAGAAATAGTTCGGCTGAAAGCAGAGAATGAGCGGCTGCAGAGATCTTTTGATGCTGCCCGAACCCGAGACGGAGGAGAAGGAGGAGTAGGGGGAAGAGTGGAGGGTGTAAGTGGCACGTTGCAATCTGCACTGGAGGAACTTGAGCGAGTGAGTGGGGAGAAGAATGAAGCAGACGAGAGGGCGGGCAGGCTTCAGGTAGATCTGGCTGTAGCAGAGGAGCAGCTCTCCAGACTGCAGTCTCAGGTGGACCAGGAAGCTCAGGTGAAATCTCAGGTGGAAACAGCAGTGAGGGAGGCGGAAGAGAGGCAGAGAGCAGCGGAGGAGAGGGTTGCGGAGTTGATGGTGCAGTTGGAGGGGGTAGAGGGGGTGGCGGCGCTGCGCAGCGGTGTTGATGTGGATCTGCTTTTAGAGAGGACGATGAGTATGAGCAGCGGTGGCAATGGTGGCGGGGGCGCTGTTGCAGGCTTTGCTGCTGGCAGTGCTGCTGCTGCTTCTGCTGCTATCAGTACTAGTGCCGGTGCTGGTGGTGATGGTGTTGGTGGTACTGCTGGTGATGCCGGGGAAGGATCATCAGGTGGGCGGGGTATCAGCAGGGGAAGCGCAGAGCCAATGACTTGGCGTCAGAAGTTTGCATACATACCAGAAGAGGACAGAACCAATTGGCTGCTGGACGGCCTAGATCGCATGCACAGGGAGAATCAACGGCTCAAGATCCTCATCCGGCATTTGCAGTCAACGCTGGTCAAGCAAGACGAGGAGGTGAGTCAGCTTCGGCCGCGAACTGACGAGTTGCTTCGGGCCGAGGCTGCTGGAGTGGCTGGGAGGGACCGAGCTTCAGAAGCGGTTTTTGGAGCCGAGGCTGCTGCTGCAGCTGTGGAGGAGGTTCGGAATAAGCTGTTTGCTGCTGAAGCTGAGCAGGCTCGGCTGGCTTCCGAAGCTGAAGCTCTGCGCCAGGATCTTTGGACTGCCCTAGATCAATGCGGGCAGCTTGAGCGAACCGTTGCGTGGCTGGAGGAGGATCTCGTGCAGGTACAGCAGGAACTTTCGGCTGCCCAAGGAGAGGCCAGGGCTGCAAAATTTGACGCAGAACGGGCAGAAGAACGGGCAGAGGACACAGCAGCAGCACTCCACGAGTTGCAACGGGAGATGAACCGGCAGTTACATCAATCCAAAGAGACGACACAGCAGCTCAGTACTCGAGTCGTGGTGGCAGCAAGAGAAAGCCGTATCCGGGCGGAAGAAGCACGAGCGTTTAGAGAAGCAAAGAGCTCTACGGTGGCTGAATTGAGTCGAGCTGTGGAGGGGTTGAGAGAGGAAGTGAGGGTGGCGAGAGGGAGGGAGAGAGTGAGGGAGAGGGAGGCTGCAAGGTCGAGAGAGGCTGCAGCGGAGGCGAGGAGGCAGCTGGAGGTGGAACAGGAGAGGAGGGAGGGGAGGAATGGGGGAGTGGCGGAGATGCCTGATGTGCTGCTGTGGCCGATTGACCTTTTTGTCCCTTCACAATTCTTCGTGTTCTGAAATGGCCGGGGAATGTGAGCGAGGATACCTGTGTGCAGTATACTGAGTGTGAGTGAGGGGTTACCCAGGGAGAGTGAGTGAGTGTTTGGCTGAGTTGTTTCTGGGGAATGGAAGATAAGATGAGGTGCTTGGGATGGAGGGAGTGAGTGTTGACGAGGTGTGTGGGAGTGAGGAGCACTGTGCAGCTGAGGTGACGCATTGCTGTGAGACTCTCTCTCTCCCTCTGAGAGTGAGTGCTGTGCGAAGGTGTCTCCTTGAGAGGTGTCTGCAAGGCGAGAGTTCAAATTTAATGGCGCAGCTGAAATGATGCAGGGGTTGGTGTTTCAAGCTTCTCTAGGGATGGGCCATTGGTCAGCAGAAGCTGGCTGATAGGCGAAGTTGGTTACTTGGTTTATCCAATGAATCAATGAATAAGAAATTCAAGCATACAGTTGTAACAAGCTAGATACACTAGCATGGAACTTCCCTAATCTAGCCTTCTAGCCCCTAAAATCCCTCGGCTACAGTTGTAAACCCTATTTTCCTAGAATAAACGAATTGTAGACCGCAGCTCCAAGTATGTACCCGTCGGAATTGTACATCTTTCTGACTCGCCATCTTATCCGATCCGACGTGAAGATGTGGGAGAGCGCGGCCTACTAACGGGGATAGGTCAAAACTGCTGAAAAGGGTCAATCGTGAGTCAAATATTTGAGTGAAGAATCAAAGTCCCGATTCCAGGGAATACTAGGTGCTATCTTGTACCCAGACACGTAAGAGGCGAGCACGTCGCGTTTCATCTCCGGCTGCGGCGTGTCATCTCTACTCAATGACACTGAACTCCGCGACAGTGTTCGCCACGAGACTCTCCACCGCTTGCGCCAGCCCCTTCCCCTCGGTCCGCACGGACGCCCACCATTGGTTACTGCTCGCGCTTAGGCCGCCGGGTTTTCTGCTGCTGCTGGGGCTGCCGCGACACCGCAGAGGGCTGCTCGTCGCGCTACAGCCGCTGCTTCGGCTGTGGCAACTCGGACTGCGGCTGCGCTTCGGGCTGCTGGTCGTGCCGCTCGGGCAGGACGCGCTGCCCGAAGGGCTGCCCGATAGGCTGCCCGGTTGAGAAGAGGGAGTAGGGGATGGAGCCCGCGGCGGGAGTTTCGGTCTGCTTGAAATGGCCATTTGACGTCGAGATTGGGGAGGGGGGATCGAAAGCAGATGTAGATGAAGCGAGAAGAACGAGAAGCAGGAAGTGCTGGACGTTCGTAACGAGAGCGACGGTGAGAAGGTCGACACGCTTTTGAGAATTCTCAAAAGTGATTCCCAAACACGAAGCAGGAAGCGCTGGACGTTCGTAACAAGAGCGACGGTGAGAAGGTCGAAACGGGAGGCGATCGAAGAAGGTCGCGGGAGTTCACGAACGCAGAGGCTACTATGAGGGCGTACGGTTTTCTTGGATGAGTCGCAGATTGATAGCCGACACTCTTGTTACCTACGAAGACTTGGAGGCGTTTAGGGTAAAACTGAAAGTAATGAGCTGATATCGTGTGATTGACTCGCTGTTACGTGGATTCATTTGTTCGACTCGCCTTTATAAAGCTCAACCGGAGTGTTCGACAATAATGTCGTTGGAGGGAGGGAAGTCGAGCGGAAGGGAGGAGGGGGAGGTGGGTGGGGGGGCGGGGGAGTGGAAGTGAAGTGAACAAAACGATCTGCGTGATCAGGTCGGCGCGACGAACGATCGACAGAGGCGGAGGGATGGGCGGATGGGTGGGTCGTGCGTGCACCATACCTGATTCAAAGTCGGCCGCCAGGGCAGATGCGGGGAACGCGGTGGGGAAGTGTGTGGTGGGTCCAGCCAACAAGAATCACGAATCGCGATTGGTGGTGTGACGTGAAACGCGAAAAGATGCTTTGCGACATGGACTGACTGACGAATGGACGACGCGCTACGCTAGCCAACCAGGCGAGCGAACGTTCGTTCATTGTGTCAACGAATCGGCTTGCGTGGAGAGTGTCGCTCGTTTTCCACCCATTGGCTTCCCGAACAAGTCTGCTGCTGAACCGGGTATGAACCGATCCAGCCAATCATGAACGGGCGAAGCCACCTGAAACACCTCCTGGGGAACACCAGCCCATCACACGTGATCCATTGGAGGACCGCGCTGCTCGTGGACCATAACGGGCTCGCCTTGGGGAAGTCGCGGTTCGAGATGAATGCAAGATTCGGTTTTGTTTGGCCAGCAAATGAGCACGCGGAACAGCCTGGAAGTTGCGCTGGTCCAACCCGTGTACACAAAGGTCTCTCAAACGTGGCTCATCGGGCTAATGGCGATTGGACTAGGCAGACAGGTGGCAGAGAGTGCTCCTGAGAGTTGTGAAACGGAATGCGCGGCGAGCGTTCGAAGCAGCCAAGCGTTCCCGTCGCGACTCGCAATCAACCCTCCGCAAAACCCCACAGTTCGTTCTAAGGTTCGATAGAAGCAGGTCACAGATGCTAGCCAGATATTTCTAGATGTCAGAGGAAACCGCTGATGGGAAGGCAGCTTTCGACACAGTTCTTCTCACTGTACAGCTTACGATCACACCTGCGACTCGTGGCCCCACCAGACCAAGCCTAGAATTTCGTTGATACGTTCGGTTGTGTTCAGTTCCGTTCCGTCCATTCCGTTCGTTCCGTCCGTGCCCTGTGCCAATGCCAAGGACCAGCAGCAAAATGCTGAACGATATGGCTCCGTTCCGTCGTACAGCCGTCACGAAACTCCGCTGATTCCATCAGGCACCGTAGATCCAGCTCAAATTTGTTCCGCAGAAGCGGAACCCAGTCATTTTCCCTGCCTGTTAGGAGCTGCGTTGTGACCTCAAATGACCGCGAAGTTGAATGGTGCGCAATATTGCCAGATACATTCGTATTTTGTTTCTTCTCCCGCCAGCGACAGTAGCATCGGAAAGTATGACGGAGGCTCTAATAGGTCGGACATACATTCTTAGGGTTTGTTGGCTTCAGTGACATGCTTTGATAAAATGAGGGAGGTGGGTAACTGCAAAATACTATTTTTTTGCCAGTCTCTGAAACCATGGCGGCATTTAAGGTGAAACTTCTATCGTAGGTGCGTCCTCGCAGAACGTTTAACATACATGAGCGACTGCGAATCACATGCGACGGCGTATGGGTGGGGATGCTACACGTCACAGTAAGTCTGGAGCCTCAGGTCACACAGATTTACAACTTATTACAGTTACAAATTCCGCGTATTTACAAGAAAACACTCGGTCGGCTTTCCCCAGCCAGCCAATGTCTTTAGAGCTGAAGTAGTATCGGGCAAAATGTCACTTGAGATAATCACGTGCATGGTTCCGCAGCGCCTAAATATCTCGTTCACTTTCCCTCTCCTTTCGTTCTCCCTGTTTTGACCACGAATGGTAGGCATTTGCTGTCTTCTGACGCCTGTCATGACCCCTGACATCCTGGTCTTGATTTATTACCCCCACTTGAGACCTGCTTGGTGGGTGGCTGTCGGTTGTAAGCGTTTCGTGAGTGAGTGACGACTGCGCGCCAAAATGAGGCGGCGGTTGAAACGTGCCCTCGAACCCGCAACAGACCCTCACACATCCCAGTCCCATTGAGCGAACGGCAGCCGTCGCCGCCATCCCCCCAGCCGCAGCCATCGCAGAAGCGAATCTTCCGTCACTCTTTACCCATCGCAGCCATCGCATCAGCATTGCTCACCCCAGAGTCTTTTTCCTCCGCGAATTCAGCATCATCATCCGCCGGAGCTGAATACACCTTATGATATGCTACCAACTGTCGCTGCGTCGCCATGAGACAGGACGGCAGGACCATGCAGGCAGTGTTCGTCGGGTCTCCGATGACGGCTGTCGCGTCGATGAGCTCGTGAATGACCCGCCGGAAAACACGCCCCCGACGATGGTTATCGCTGCCGCCGCGGTGGCCGCTGGGGGAAGATGGATTGCGAGTAGCTGATGTGAGATGAGAGGCCATACTGAGAGGAGTATTGCAAGTCAGATGTTAATATGGGGAACTTGACAATGTTGAGTTATAAAATGAGGGTCGGAGGGATTCGGTCACGGAATATATGAGCAGACGAGGCGCAGATGCAATAACTTGCAGCTTCCTTTCTGTCGGCTGGCTATACCTAGGGAGCTTCTACTAGTATGCTTAATGATTAATTGACGCGTCACACGAGTCGCGACTGAGGACCAGGGGGGATGATTGTAGCCGTTACGGCGCGACGAGCATTAGCTCGATGATCAACATGCCAGGACAGAAAATCCACGTGGGATATTGGAGAGCAGATGATGGATGTCAGGAAGGACGGTGAGATGAGGATGGCGCGAGCAATTCGTTAGTTAGCTTCTTCTAAGCCTGGAGCTGCCTTGGCTTGGAACGGCCGGAAACGAGGCCTCGCCACGTCAGCGCACGAACGTTGAAAGTAGTCAACGACGACCTTGTCAGACGGAAAGGGAGAGGCTTGTAACTGCCACTAACGTTGACGTCAGGTTGAATAATCTGGGAAACGTCAATGGTGTTTGTGAGGGCGCCTCGCTCACACGTTCGCTCACACGTTCACCCCCCCTGACGTTCGCGTTTGAAGGTGGATCCGACGCACAATACTGAACAGAGTACTAGCAACAAAATGTGGTGCTGTATTCTGTTTGCTGGTTCTGGTTGGATTGTGGAGTTTGGAGCTTGCTGGCTGCGAAAGCGTCACCGACGATTTTCGTACGAAGTTTCGCCAACGAATCGTGCACAAGTTTTCTGTTCAGCAAAGCACAAGGACGACAACTAAATGATACTCAAAACAACAGTTCAGCTGGACGAAACACAGAACAACTCTTCGGGAGACTCTCCAACCCATATTTTCAACCGCGTTCGAACTCACTATGAAATAAGCTCCTCGACACGCCGAAAGTTGGATCTCCTCGTGTCGAAGTGTTTTTTTTCCTTTCGTCGCTGAAACGTATGAAGGGTGTGGAACAGGGTTGTTTCAAGAAGTTAAAAGCCT